AAACATGTGCTCTTCAACATGACGTCGAACTCCTCCCCGATTCCCCTTGCTAGCTCCTCTGATCGCCGCACCAGCTCCCTCACCTCCACATGTTCCCCTGCGCCATTCGCTTCCACGTTCCTCCTTAGCCTCGAGAGGATCAGCGCGACATCAGTGAGGATGACACGGCTGGCCCCGAGTCGAGCTGCCGTGAGCCCACGGAGGCCAGCGAATCCGACGCCGAGCTCGGTGACGTTCTTGCCAGTGAGAGGGAATGAGTGGAAGTGAGCTTCGATGGAGAGCCCCTCGGAGAGGACGAGGGAGGAGTCCTAGAGCCAGGATCCGATGAGGGGACGACCAGTGACCGAATCGTAGACATCGTCCTGTTCGAGGACGTGTATCAGTGTCCAGCGACTTGGATCTCCCTCATGGTCATAAACCCTGTGTTTGCAAGCTGCTTCAGCGGGATTCGTCAGTTATCTGTACATAGGAACTAGCATTCAACTATTGTCGGGGACTCACAAGAAGAATTCAACTTAGCATTGCATTTGAATGTTTTTTGAGAAAAAATGGAAGATGGCGAGATACCAAGGGCGTGTCTGAAGCGAAAAAATGGAGAAAAGGGAATAGAAGGAAACACTATTGTCGGTACGAAACTAAGGGCCTGGAAAGATGACAATGAGATGGAAAGTGGGATCGATCAGAAAAGAAAAGGAGAGAAAAAAAAGATGAGCAAATAAAAAAAGAGAATAATGCTAAAAGGTGGGCCACGCAAACGATAATATAGTCAAAATGCTATATTAAGGAGTGTCTAAGTCAAATGAAGAGTGACAAAAGCGCAATCCATTTTATATTACAAAATCTCTAAAGTTGAGATTTTCTTGCCTAAACCTGAATTTATGGACAGAGTGCAATCACAATTATTGATTTTGTGAGACTGACAAGTGTGCCCATCAAAGTAAGCCACAGCTGTGATTAATTTGGTCAACCAGACTTAGGTTTAGGCAAAAAATTCTCGGCGACGAATGTAAGGTAGCTGGTCGTTAGCCCGTGGTACAACCCAAGGTAACTAAGAAAAGGAAACTAAAACCCCAAAAAGGTGTGATGACGACAAATGCTAGGTAGACCGTTTAGACATAAAAGCCCATGGATGATACAGATATCTAAATATCTCATAATGATTTTCCCCTGCTGGGGCAAAAGAGGAGGAGGAGACAACATTGCATATTTACACTACACATGACCAAAGAAACACCCTACTAAAAAACATTTAGGCGAACACCGGTCCACACTATAATTAGTTCTGTCCACCTACATCAGTCAACATACGATATTTGTTCACGTCAGCATGGTCTGCATATGGGTAACTATACGAGGCAAAAGTGGCTGTGCTAGTCTTCTGCCGTATGGCCGACGTGCACGTAGCCTGTCCATGAAAATGAGCACAATCTGTCGTTGAACCCACCCATGAAGTTTTCGAAGATAGCAATGCAAACGGCACTATACAGGGAAGAAAGCGAAAGAAGGAGCCTCGGAACAACAATGATGCGAGGGAAACCACCGAGAGTGACGCAGCGAGGGCCATGAGGCTTCGGATTAAGGCTTGAGCACAAGGACGTGGACCAGGAGTGATGGCTGATGCAGATGGTTGATAAAGAAGTGCCAAGAAGCAATACAATATATAGAAGGCTAAATATGGCAATAGAGGTGGTGAAGGGATGAGTGTCAAAAGGATTCTGTAGCTTGCCTTGGTACTTCACTTCAATGAGATTCACCAGGACTTGAATAATGAAGGTGAAAGTGCCATGGTGGTGGGAACTAGTGAACAAGGCAGGCCAAGTTTCGATGCTTCTCCATTGAGGAAGGCCTGGTGGCATTTTAGTATGTTGTGGGAAGAAACCCAAATAATTAATTCCTAGGTTAAGATTTGACAAGAAGAGAGAAAAATGAGACAACAATTAATTAAGAAGGAAGCCAAGAAGGGATCTATATACGCACACCCAATGCTAAGGCGAATCATCGAGAGAGATCGTTTCGAATTTGATCTTTTGACATGTGCTCTGGTATCATATTATATAAGTCGTTCCTAGAAACATAAACCATACATAGGTAAGTTGTAACACAATATCTAAATAATAAGGTGCATTGAATTACATATGATCTTGGGTCAGGGTCGGAAGGTTCATGTTCAGACAGACCAAAAAGGAGCAAGCCAGTACAATTTTCTCAGCTCGGAATTTTCCAAGTGTCTTTATCGCTCTGGTCCACTTACTAAAGAGTAGGGTCCGTCAGATGACATATGGGTCTTCCAGGAAGAAACAAAGAAGTTGCACTTTGTGTGTTCCCAGTAGAGCGTGTATAAAGGGGAAGACGATTTGTGGAAATTTACCTTCATTTCGTCAACTACCCCCTTTGAAAGTTGAAATCGAGTCGACATTTTGATTAACTTAGCTTTGATCGCGTACATATACTTGATATTCTTGGATGTCATCCCCATGTTGAAAATATTATTTCAGAGCTGTCCGCACAATTTCACGCGATTCATCTGGAACAAGCAAAGATTGTCATTTATCGGTTAATACTATTCTTCTCAAGTGGGCATTTGATTTAGTCTTTATTTTTAGTAATGGGTTAATAATCAAACTTGGGCCTTGTGCATTTGGTCAAGATTTAAATTTTTTTCATCTTGTGGTGGCGAACGATGGCGTGATCACCAATCGAGAGCAAGTAGTTCCTGACTTTAACTTTCTTTGATGGCTATTGATTTTGATAGTCCTGTAAAGTCCGTTAATTCAGATCCTAACTCGATTCTAAAATCTACTCATGATTTATTAGGATTCGGACTTCTAGATGATCGAACTAGACCGTACCCATATGAATATGTAAATCCGAACGCATTCCGATGTAAAAGTGCACCAAAAGGGAGCGGCGGCGGCGGCGGCAGACGGATGTGGCTTCGCTTTTCCTTTCCTCAACTTTGTTTGACCGTTAGCTACCAAAATTTACATGAATGAATCATCAGTTTTTTCGGTCTAATTTGCCTTACTCCCATGAATTGATGACCAGTAAAGTTTTATAATATACCTTCTCCCCAATCCTTCAACTCCCCCTCGAGCAATGTCAGCAGCATTCATCTCCACACTCACCTATTTGTACTTTTTTTTGGGTCGAAGTCTATTTCTACTTCACCAGATGCTTCATAAGGAAAGTGGCGAAGCTGGTAAGGGCGACACGATAATGCTAGAGATACCCGAATTGATTTATTGAATTGATTTACTAAACGGTCCGGTATACTATGAACATGCAACGGCAACAGGTGGTCATAATCGAATTTCACCTATTGCCACCTCCATCAAATTTTATACCTCGGAGAGAGCTATGAAATGGAGGATTTCTCGACTTTTGTTCTTATTTCAAAAATATGCTTAGCACCTTAGGGTTTGTTTAGTAACGTTTCTGTTCCTAAAAATAATTTATGTTCATAAATTGTTTTTTCTATTTCTATTCCCTAGACAAGTTTCTGAGCAAAAAAAAACGCGTTTAGTAACTGTATAAAATTTATATTCCTGAAGTAGAAAAAGAACATAAATGCGTTTGGTAGAACACTAAAATTTCTACTCCCAATTTTTTTAGTTAATTATAAAATTATCGGTGAAGGCTTAACAATTAATATTTGAATAAAATTAGACTAAAAATATAATAAGAATATATTATGATATATAATTAGATGACCTTAATACAATCATAAAGAAAATTACTACTTATAGACAAAGCAAATACGGGGTGGTGGTCAAGAAAATTGCAGTTTAGGGGACTTAACAATTCATGTCCGGATAAAATTAGACTAGAAATAGCATAATAATATATTATGATATAGGATTGGATGACTTTAATACAATCATAAAGAAAATTACTCATTATAGATAAATCAAATATCAGGTGGTGGTCGAGGAAATTGCAATTTAAGGTATAGGATTTTAGGATTTGGGGTTAGGGTTTTAGGATTTCGGTTTTGAGGTTTAGGGTTTTAGATTTTGGATTTATGGTTTAAAGTTTAGGGTTTAGGTTTTAGGGTTTCGAGTTTGGGGTTTTAGGTTTAGCATTTCGGGTTTGGGGTTTTAGGATTTGGGTTTAGTGGTTTAGGATTTAGGGTTTTAGGGATTCGGATTTTGGGTATTGGGATTTGGGATTTAGGGTATAGGGTTTATAATTTAGGATTTTGGGTTTATGGTTTAGGGTTCAGAGTTTTGCAATTTAACGTTTTAGAATTTAGGGTTTGCAATTACGATTTTAGGGATTCGGGTTTGGAGTTTTAGGGTTTAAGGTTTAGTGTTTCGGATTTTGGATTTTAGGGTTTTAGGTTTAGGATTTGGGGTTTAGAAGGTTTAGGGTTTTAGGAATTTGGGATTTGGGGTTTTAGAGTTTTGGGTTTGGGGTTTTTCATTTTAGTGTCATGGGTTTTAGGGTTTGGGTATTAAGACTTAAGGTTTTAGGGTTTAGGGTTTGAGGATTAAGGTTTATGGTTTAGAATTTGGGGTTTTAGGGTTTGAGGATTAAGGTTTATGATTTAGAATTTGGGGTTTTAGGGTTTAGTATGATAATATCTTGTGAAAGAGAGAAAACTGATTTTGTTTTTCTATTGTTTCTTTTTTTGTTCCAGAAACAGAAAAATAGGTTTTTTTTACTTTTACTTTCTATTCTAAATCTATTCCCTGACCACTTTTCTGTTCCCGGGAAAAAAAAAACTAACTGATGTTATTAAATGGATTTTCTGTTCTTTTTCTGCTCCAAGAAACAAAAGAATAGAAAAACAAAAAAATACAAACGTTATTAATACCTTCGTAGCACCGACACGCTTGGGAGGCGTCCGAGTTGGTATCGGACACGTGTCGCGTGTCCGACACGCTCGGACACGCGGCTGACACGCTCCGACACGTGGTCAACGCGTGTCGGATCTCCGACACGCGGTCAACGCGCCTTACACGCCGGCGACACGCGTGTCCGGCGCCGAAGGTCGTGGGTCACGGAGGAGTTGGAGGAGTTGCAAAAAGGAGACGAGGACGGAGGCGGGGCCTCTTCGACGAGGCGGAGGCCGACGCCAATGCTGCTGCCGCCGACTTGCGGGAGCCGCCGCCGACGGGGACGTTGCGGAGGGTGCCGCCCTGGGTCCAGTAGTGGCGGCAAGACTTGCAGAAGTGACGAGTCTGGGAAAGGTTGTAGTTGTTGTAGTAGGCTAGTAGCAAAACTTGGTGTTCGTGGAGTCGCAGCGCAGGCAGAGCAGCGCCTCCGCCTGAGGCGGCGGAGGCGGATGGTGCAAGCCGGCTCCTCCCCCCGCGGCGGCGGCGGAGGCCTGAGGCCGGGCCTGCTTGCGCTCGCTCGTGTCCGAAGGCATGTCTTCTCCCTCGCGGGCGTCGAGGAGCGTGCAGAGAAAAAGTGTTAAAACTTAAAAGCGAAGGCTTTGGAGGAGGGAGAGAGAGAGAGAATGGGGTGGAGACGTGAAGGAGAAGGCAGCATTTGTACTTTCCTTTTTTTCAAATTTAAATTATTTATTTTTAGTTTCTTAATTAATATATTTATTTATACATAATTATTTTTTGAAAACTTATGTGTATAGCATGTCGGTGCTACTTAGACTAATACATGCCCTTATTCTCTTATTTCAAAATATATATTATTATTGAATTTTCTATCCGCCGTTGTTTTCTCCAAAAAGATCCTCCATTTCGCAGCTCTCTCCGTCGTTTTCGCTTGTCATCCTCTTCTCCGGCGTAAGTTCTTGAAACCCAACCCTCCTTTTTCTTGAGTTTCTTCTACTTTCTGAACCTGTATCTTCTTCGGTCTGAGCTCAAATCGTGTGCAGACGCAGAGCTTGTAGAGCTGCATGAGCTGCTTCGCATGGATTACACTTGGTTTTTATCCATGTCTGATCAAGTTGGCTTCTTTGTTCAGCGGCAACTTCCTCGTTAGCTTATGTGATGTCAAAAGACCTGCTTCATGCTAATAGATTGATCTTGCTCAGTCGGGTTTTCGGAAAAATCTGATTTTTCTTCGATTTGTCTTGTGGGGTTTTGACTGTGGCCAATGCTATATAGTCAGTTGAGTGGCTTGCGTGTGATTACAATCCATCAGAGTTTAGTGATTCTCTGTTCAATCTTACCAGTTTGATGGGTAACATTTGCTGGTCAAATTGTTCAATTCACTATGGCAATCAAACACGGGCTCAGCCTAGCAAGCCACTGAATTATGCTGGCAATGTCTGAAAAAATCGGTTGGGTCCCGTTGAAAAATCCGTACTATGAAATTTTTGTTTCCTGGCTTAACATATCCTTTTGATCTCAGCTGCAAAGAGATCTTACTGGGATTTGGGAAGAACTTCATTTCTTGTTTGTTGATTTTGAGCTGTATTGTCTTTTTCCCAAGTGAAATGGTGAGATGAAAATCCTGTGGGGGGAATATGTAAATACATTTTTGGTTGTCAGATAATATGTGCAATGCTATGTTGAGATTTGAGTTTCTTCACTAGTGCTTGCTGAAAAGTTTTTGCTCTAATTAAAAATGACAGAGCAAAGTGGTTGCTTCATGATGGACGCAAGTATCATGGTAGGGAAATACGCTGCTGACATATCCTCCATAAGAGAAGCATACGCACGCATCGGATCATTTATACACAAGACTCCAGTTATCACTTCAGAGTCTCTTAATGCAATATGCAGCAGAAGTTTATACTTCAAGTGCGAATGCTTTCAGAAGGGGTGAGAAGTTCTTAAGTGGAGTGCCTTACTCATAGCATATGTGTTTCTCCATTTGGTTCAAGTTCAGATTTTTCTTTGGCCAAAGGAAAAAAAAAGTTCAGATTTTGCACAAGCAGCATTCCCTTTTCTTTGGCATGAGTTGTTGGCTAGAACCATAGGCATTTTTCTTTTACAATCAGTTTAATCTGGGTCTTCAAATCACAGTGGGGCATTTAAGTTCAGAGGTGCTTGCAATGCCATATGTTCCCTTGATGATGCTCAGGCAGCTAAAGGGGTTGTTACACACAGCAGGTAAGTTTGACATTCGATGGTGTTCTAGAATATTACTTTCCTTACTCATGCTTTAACTATCCCCAAGTTCTACGAGTTTAGTGGAAACCATGCTGCTGCATTGTCCTTAGCTGCAAAATTACGAGGGATTCCAGCATATATAGTGATACCAAAAAATGCACCAAAATGCAAAGTCAATAATGTCATTCGCTATGGTGGTCAAGTTATCTGGAGTGAGGTCACAATGCAGTCAAGGGAAGACACAGCTTTGAAGGTGTCGCAAGAAACTGGAGCTGTTCTGATCCATCCATACAATGACAAACGGATAATAAGGTATTAGATTCACTGTATATATTTTTCTCACCCTTTTTAATAATCACATCATCCAAAGTCTAGAAGCTGCGGATTTAAGGAATTTGTAATCTATAACTTGTAATTTTCTTAATGAATGCTTTCAGAATAATGCAAAAACTTATATTGCAAATGAGAGGCCAGGCTGCAGTGCCATTAAGTTTAAGCAACTTTAGTTCCTTCCTCTTCTTGCCCTTTTCCTTTTCGATTCGATCAGCTTCCATATTTAACTCTGAAATTCCTTCTAGATGTAGTTCATGATCATGATACTGTAATTGCAATGGCAGATATTATCATGTAATTTTCTTCTGATTTATCCAGTGGACAGGGAACAATATCTGTGGAGCTTCTGGAGCAGGCCCCACAATTAGACACTATTATAGTTCCAATAAGTGGTTTGTCCGATAACCTTTCCCAAGTCCAATATTCTGGTCCTGCATAGTTGTCATCCTCATCAGTGATGCTCTTCACTGAAAAAAAATCAATTGAAATTTTTGCAGGAGGTGGCTTGATTTCGGGAGTGGCATTGGCCTCCAAATCAATGAACCCAACAATTCGAGTTTTGGCTGCAGAACCTAGAGGGGCGAATGATGCAGCACAGTCTAAAGCAGCTGGAAGGATTATAACTTTGCCCGTGACCAACACTGTTGCTGATGGGCTTCGAGCTTCTCTAGGAGATCTTACGTGGTAAGTTTCATACTGAGATTATTATAGTCATCAGATCAAACACATGTATTTGATATTTCCTAATTGTCAGTTCTCAATGACTTAGATATATATTTGGTGCTTCTATGTGTAAGTTTGATGCACTTGTAAAAAGTATTGCAAGCTATGAGGCTGAACTGACCTTGTTCTTGGACCGACTGATTTTTGGCTTCTCGATTTCATGCGACTTCCTGTTCATCTTCTGGTGGAGCAGGCCCGTAGTACGTGATTTAGTCGATGATGTCATAGTTGTGGACGATACAGACATCGTGGAAGCAATGAGACTTTGCTATGAAATTCTGAAAGTGGCGGTGGAGCCAAGTGGAGCCATTGGTCTTGCTGCTGTTCTATCGGAAAGCTTTAGGAGTAATCCTGCCTGGAAGGATTGTAACCATATAGGAATCATCCTTTCAGGAGGTAATGTTGATTTGGGTATGATTTGGGACTCGTACAAAAAATGAAGGGGGTGGTAAATTAGTAATATGTGCTCTCAAGGAATCTACCTCTAGGCAAGAAAGATTTTCCTCTTGTTTACTCAGTTACATCAATGCAGAAATATTGCTCTGTTCTGAATGCTCAGCCAGGGATTGTTATTTCTAGTTCTTTTTTTTTTTTTTGCTTGCATATGGGAGAAACTATTCTATTTCATTTATCGTCTGTAAACTTGTGAATTTTGTGACAGCATCAAGGCAACACTTTCTGTCAATTACTGGTGTAGTTTGTGAAGTGTACCTCATTTTTGTTGCCAATGCCGCACAAGAAACAGCAATGGTTACGATGGGCCAGAGTACGTAAACCGGCACTGCTCTTCCTTCCTGTCAAATTCATCCGCATCATCTTTGCTCTGTGTCTCATAGCACACGACACAATAACCTTGATCAAGTGGCACCGGTACACTTTCTTCCTCACAATAAGTTGAAATCCTCCACATATGCCATTTTTTCCAATTTGTCTTTAGTGCATAATACAATCTATTCGATTATACAAAACATCAATAAATCATAGTATTCCATGGTTTTACTGAAAGTTACATGGGCGACCATTTATTCCAAAAGTTTGTAACACTCTCCTTTACATGAAGTTCGATTTGATAACGAAGGCCTCAAACGTGCAAACCTAATGCTTGTGGGCGAAAGATTTTTTGAAGCCCAATTGGATATAATGAAAGGGGACCCATAAAAAGATGAAAAAGGAGGAGCGAAGAATCAAACTCAAGGGTCGGCTCTGATACCAATTGAAAGTCGGTTGTGCAACCTTCTCCTGCAAAAGTGTAAATCGTAAGAGTACGGTGAAGAACATATTTCATATTTTGACAGTTTTAATGTCAAAATATAAAGCACATAAAAGGAAGCAGTAAGGTTTAATTCGAAAATTTCCTCGTCTACGCATAGAACCTAATATTATCAAAACTAAAATATGGTTTGTCTTTTAGGACAACTTTTACTTGCATCTTCTTTGATTATACCTTAGCTTTTAGCATTTGCAAAGCAGTTGGATAAGCTTGGCCTAACGCATGCCGTAATTAAGTCATTTAGGCCTCGTTTGATTCACTCGTTATGGAATCAACAAAGGAATCCCATTCCACCATGTTTACCTTGCCAAGAAATGCTTCAACGTTAACAGGTTCTCATAATGCAGATGGGCTGCGCATTGAAGCAAACGATGGCATGGCGGACGCTGGGCTAGTGCAGGTGTTCTGGTGCAATTCTGCACAAACACCCTCGTATATTTATCGAGGCCATGCCCAATCCACAATGAATTTTGGGGCCCGTTTGGCAACATGCCAAATAATAAAAATTTCTGTTCTTTTGTTCCCAGAATCAGTTTAAGAACAGAAATCCGTTTGTTAAATTATTTGTGTCCGGACACAATTTTGCAAAAATTGTTCCCAGAATCAGTTTTGGAACAGAATCAAGAAGCAAAAAAAAGTAGCTTCTTTATTCTAGAACAATTTTTCCATTTCTGATTCTTCTTGGTTTTCTTCTTTTTTTTTGGTTTGTTCTTCTTCTTCTTCCCTGCCTGCCGCCAGCCACAGGCCAGGGCTAGCGAGGGCGGCTCGCGGCCTCGACGGCGAGGTCTCGCCCAGCCAAGGCGAGACCAACCTCGCCGTCGCCACCCAGGCAACGGGCCTGGGTGGCAACGGCGAGGTCAAGCCTCGCCAGATCTAGGCGAGGTCGAGCCTCACCCAGGCGACGGACCTGGGTGGCGAAGGCGAGGGCCGCAATGCGCTCGCCGGCCCTGGCCTGTGGCCGGTCGCCGGCCTCGGCGACCAGCCATGGCCAAGGAAGGGAAAGAAAGAAAAAAAAAAGAAAAAAAAGGAAAAAAAAAGGAAATAAATATTAAAAATTTCAAAATATTATTAATAAAATGAAATTTTGTGTAGTTATCAAACGCATTTCTGTTCTTTTTCTATTAAAAGAATAGAAATTTTGGGTAGTTACCAAACGCTTTCAAATGCTTAGAAATTGTTTCCGGACATGGAATAAAAAAGAATCATTTCTGAGCAGAATCAGTTCTCGATCATAGAATCGTTGCCATGTGCACCCTTGATCGCCATGCGCGAGCCTTCAATCAGCTTCTTAAGGGATTCATTTCAGATTATGAATGAATGTTATTCCATGAAGGGCATTCAACTCGAACTCTCTCGGATGCACTCTTTCGTCAAAACACGAAACGTGGACCCAATATGACACTGCCCGTGGGCAGGAGGAAATGTTCCTTGCAAATTCAATGTCTTCGGATTGTACTGGGGCTAACAGGCATCTAACTCTGAGCTCAATGGAAGTTGGTAATGCCCAGGGCATTGCTCTTAATGTCGAGTTCAGGGATAGCATCTATGCTCTTGTTACATGTCGAGAAAGAGTGTCGAAAGAGGATGCAGAAAATGATATTGACTCGAGCTCAACGAAGCATAGCACAACAAAATAGAAAGGTGGAAGCAAATATCCGGCTGATCCCATCATCTGTATCCTGCACTTCTAGGCCACGCGAGCTCCTGGACTGCCCACATATGGCAGTGTCGAGAGCCTCGGAAGTTAGATGTCGGGAACTGACCTTGAAGAAGTGAAGCCTCGGGAATGATATGAGGTTCACTGCAAGCTTATCAAGGTCTGAGATGAGCTGACCAGGGAAGCAAAGGCTGTATGTTATGAATCAAATTGGTTGGGGAAATGAGATGTCATTCAATCCCGAGACATTATTGGTACATTTCTACATGGAAGTGACGATGCGTTATTGGTACATTTCTACATAGAAGTGACAATGCGTCTTGTGGATGGACATCGGCGCGATAGAACAGTACCATTTTCTCGCCTACATCCATTTACCATCCTGCATTCTGATCATTGCTACAGAATTTCTGTAAACTGGGTTGACATTGGAGATTACGTTGCAAGACCAACTGATCTCGATTCCCTGAGCAATATGGGCGAGAAAATGGTCTGACCTCTAAATATCCCAAGTTGAAAGATGTCGATCTTTCCCATTATTCTTACACTGAAACCCCAACCAAAAGCTTCTAACTGTCCATATGAGCCCATCAGTTTGAATCTCTTCAGAAAGGACAGAAACAAAAATTAGATTTGAGCCCAGGCCAAGGATTATATTGGGGAAGAAGCTCAAGGCATCCTAATCCATTGGTTGTAGCCTCAGAACTGTACTCATCAATAAATGGTATACAAGGAGTAGGCTGTCAAGCTCAACACTCTTTGTTTTTCCTTCTAGCACTCGAACCATTTACACGAACCAGTAAGAAAATTGAGAGATGAGGTATCAATGACAAGTATTACACTTATATGTTCCTGATTTACAGTATGTTAGCTTTTAAGTTCAAACTTCAGCTCTGCTATGATGAAAGTGCAAGCTCGGCCCATGCCAAAGACGACGACTTAAGCTCTGCAGAAAAAGACGTGTCGATCTGGGTCTCCAACATGGAGCTTATTTCTTGCATCGAAGGCCGCTTGGTAGGATCAGCATTTAGGCATAAGCTCACCACCTCACACACTACTTTAAGGTCCTCGTGCTGGAAATGTTTCAACTCAGGGTCAACCACGCAAGACATTACTTCTGGCAGTTCAAGATAGTCCTTAGCCTGCAGAGATAAGATTTTAATTGCAAAGATCATTTAAATTCTCCCGTGATCCTTCAATATATTTTCAGTACAAAAGTTCATGTCAAAGAAATGAGTTTCATAAGACTACTTACCCAATTTACCAAGCTCCCTTTGTCCTTGCAGTATGGAGGTCTTCCGCTCACTATTTCGAGCAGAAGTACCCCAAAAGCATGGATATTTCCCTGCACATCCTCATGGCGTCCTTCTAAGGAATTGGGAAGAACACAAATTGAGCCCTGACTGTCAATAGATCCCGAATGCTTTTCTGATCTTGCAAGAATCGTCTTCCAACTCTCGAAATCAACAAGCTGCAGTTGAAATGAGCAAACAACTTTTTCTCAAAACAAAACCCTAGATTTTGCACATTTCTATTTCTCCATCAGTACTTGAAATGATACTAAAGACCAAACAATGTAGGGCTCAAAAACAGCAAAGCAGAGAAAAATTTGGTTGTCGTATTTAAGTAATTTCAAGGTGCCTGCTAAAAGGAGCGACAAATTTTATAGAATATCCTCCTCAATTTTTTTTTTCCATCTGTCTCTACTCATTTCAGGTTTTCAATCACATTTTCTAGGATATCCATTTTGACAGAGCAGCTAAATCTTTCATTGTCTCTGTGTGATGTGTAATGACTTAGGCACTGGCATACCTTGGGGTAAAAATCTTCTGTTAGATATACGGCACTGGAATTCAACTCGGATATAGTAAAGGGTGGGTCAAGCTCATGAAGATACTTCAACCCACGAGCAATGCCCAAGACTATTTTCATACGCCGTGTCCAAGATAATTGGCAGCCTTCTCCATCTGCATTAGTATTACAGTTATAAATGGGAGGTGACAAAATGTGCCAAGTCCAAAGCATGCGTTGAACAGGATGGTTATTTCACTTACAATGAAGGTGTTCATAAAGTGTCCCATTGGATGCATACTCAAAAACAAGCATCCGTGTGAAAGGCGTACTTTCCTTGCAGTAGCCCAATAATCTTCCTGTATTATCATGATTTAGTCTAGCTAAATCTGCCACCTGGATGAAAACATGACCTAAAGTTTTACACAGGTTTTCCAAACTCACAATCTCAACTCAAAGTTTTCTGCTTTTGAAGCTGAAGTTTCATATAGGGATGAGGAACCAATTACCTCTCTCTGGAAGTAGAGTTCTAGATAGCCTGTCCAATGCTCTTCTTTGATGCAAAGCGATATCACGGCAATCTCAGGACCGCCTTTAATGGTGCCCTTGTATACCAAACTATCTGGTGATGAACCAATAATATTGCTGAAGTCTTCGCAAGCTACTTCTAGTTCTTGTCTGCTAAATCTCATTATGTCCTTCAACGCATCAGAATCTGCAGCAAAACTAACATAAATTTTAAGTAGGTACAATTTTTGAAATACCAGGGGAATGCATTGAACATAGTAAAGGCTAAGTCCTGACCTATGTATACAGAAATTTGGTCCTTCTCACTGGCCGATTTCTTCCAAGGTATGATGATGGATGGCTTGCTATTGCATCTCTGAAGAGCAGTCACAAGAGCTATGAGAAACAGACACCCCACCATAGTTCCCGTCACAATCTCTAAAGCCAATAACCAGGTAGG